TGTGTGGACGTGTATGGTGCTCAAAGTGAGGTGTGTGTTGTGTATTTTCAACTGAGTGAGGGGGTGTGGTAGTTTTGCCTCTTCGGTCTCTTGTGTGTGAGAGAGAGAGTGTAACTAGAGAGTGAGAGAGTGAGCTTTTGAGGTTGAAGAAGAAGAAAGAAATTAGGAGGACCATCTCTCATTGTTCGAAATCAAGAAGCTAGGTAAGAGTCTAGAGCCTATTCTTTTGTAGACAACCTTCCATGCATCTTGTACTAAGAAATTGGTGAATCAATTACTGGAATTTGAAGTAAAGTTGGGTTTTTGAGCAAGAAAATGGTTTGTGTGCATGTTTATGGAGGATTATACCTTGTTCATTCATGTCTTGGGTTGTGCTCTTGAAATCTTTGCATGCATGTAAGTTTTACTCATCATCTTCAAGAAATTATCATGTTTCATGTTTCAAAATTTCATGAGCTTATGGTTTTCATTGCATGTTTTGTAGAACAAAAGAAAGGAGTTTGAAAATCTTCCATGAATGAGCTTTGGAGTTCAAATTTACTAAATCCATGAGTTTTGAGCTAAATGTTTGAGAGTGATCATGTAATTGTGTTTTAGAAAGGCCTTCCAAGTGTTTTGATCAAGCTTTGCATGAGTATAGCCATTAACATCACATTTTGAAGCTCACACCCTGTTTTGAAAAACCCCAGAATTTTACAGTCTGCTCGAGCGAGGAAACCTGGGCTTGAGCGGAGAATGCGAGCTCTCAGTATTTTTTTTCTAGACATGAGCTCTCCGCTCGAGCGACCACTTGGACGCTCGAGCGAATCCTTTACATGTTGTCGATACGCTCGAGCATGGGAGTTGTAGCTCGAGCGTGGATTTCGACCAACCAGTACTTTTTCCAAGTTTTCAGGTCGCTCGAGTAGAGGAAGTCACGCTCGAGCAACCCCTCTCATTTTGCATGTCCGCTCGAGCGAGGAAAGCTACGCTCGAGTGAGGACCTTATTTTCAGAAAATTTGACTAAGTGTTCCAAGGCATGTTTTGGCATCCTCATTGCATCCTAGGCATTCCTTAAGCCTTAATTAATCCATAGTAATGAGGTTATGGATTAGAAACACACTAAGAAAAGAATGTACCAAGTTCCGAGACTGCAAGTGTGTGTGTTTTAGGCAATGTGATAAGAAAGAATAAGAACCAATGTAATGAAAGCTAAGCCTTAATGGCCACTTGAATGCATAATGATAAGACATGTTTGTGTTATGTATTTTGTGGTTGTAGGTCAGGACTCGAGGGTTGATTGACCATTGCTGGAATCATTGTGAGTAACGTTATTGTAAAGATACGTTCATATGAATTACGTTCCAAATGAAATATGATAAGTTATGATTTCTGAAATGTTATCTGTTTACATGAACGAACATTCCAAGTTTGAAATCTATTATGGCATCCATAGATAGTCCCAAGTCATGGGGGACGGCATGAAAATGCGGGTCCATGACATACAAGTAATTACGAGATCTCGTTAGCCATTTCATTATGGTGATATGTGTTTAATCGGTATCCGGAACTGATCCGGAACCGATTACTCTAGTCGGAAGACGTTCTGTGATGTGTTCTATGGGATGTACCATTATTATGTTCTGATATAAGAATGATTATGCTATAATATGTTTTATGCTTATGATATAATCGGATTTTGTTCACTAACCCCTTTACGTTAATGTTATTCATTGGGCTTTAGCTCATTGTGTGTATATATATGTATAGGTGAGCATTCTGGAGCCCAAGCTTGAAATCTTTTGTCTGGAACTATGTTTCTGCTGTCAGCCAACCATTACGCCTCACGTAGAGGTTCCCGAAGTGTCCTGTGTTAAGTTCTGTTGGTTCCATGTATATGTGTGACTTGTTTTAATTCTATTGGTTGGACTTAAGATACTATAATGTGTGTGGGTATAATGTATGGTTGACTACCAGTTATGTATATAAAGTTTTAAATATTCTGTTTCATATAAGTCAGCACAACTCATTGGACAACTATATTTATGTATTAGCTTCCATTAGCCCCTTAATTTTGTTAATCTGTTCAGAGGCCTTCGGTAATCGAAGGATTACTGGCCGGTTACGATGCTAAACCTATAGGAGCGGGTTTGGGTTGTGACATATATGAGTTAAAATCTTCAAGAGGATAGTTTAAGAAGAGAGAGAGAGATCAAGAATCCACTTTGAAACCCTAGCATTTATGAGACAAATCTAAGTAATTAATATACTTGATGGAGCCTTTAAAACCAACCAAGTCTAACATTAATATAAATATAACTCAAGGAGATTTCCCTACCTCAAGCTTGTTGATGAAGGTGAGATGAAACCCTAGCCTCAAAGATGAGAGGAACCCTGGATCTCCACCAGTCAAGTGAAGCCCTAACTTTGGATCTTCAAGATTAAGAGGAAGATGATGAAGATCTTGACCCAAAAATTTACAAAATCAAAGTGTTTTAAAGCTTGAGGAAGTTTTCTAGAGAGAAAGGAGAGAGAAGTAGGGTTTAGAGTGAGAGAGAAATGAGCAAAATGTGTTATACAAACGGACCAAAAGAAGAAAAAAAAGCAAAGCTCGGACTGTCCAGAGTGCCGCACGTGCGGCACCCATTCCTGCATATGCGGAGCGCGTCTCCTGCACGTGCGGCTCTCATCCTCGCACGTGCAGGGATCCTCTCCCGTACCTCGGCCTGCTCGTGCATATAAAGCAGTATGCACACCAATTCAACCCCTGAATTCCGCACGTGCGGCCCCTCTCCCGCACGTGCGGCCCCTACTTTTCAGCCTAGATTTTTCAGACTCAACTCCTGGACGCCCCAAACTCAACCGTGCCTACTCCGAAATGGATGAAATTCAGTCACCGAACCAACAACAAAAATGAGGACTTATTCAAAGAATTAGCTTCCGACGTTTTAAATCCAACGAGAACAAAAGGGATGAAGTGGAGGAAGAGAAAGAGAAAAAAGAACAAGACCCGGTCATCATATACCACAATTGTTGTATTTAACAAACTGCCCTTTTCAGATGCCAGCTCCATCGGGAGCTGCAGCAGGGCCTTCAGTGCCACCCCCGGCAGCAGGGAGAGAGAGACGAGGGACTCCGACGCACAACAGAGGCAGAGCTAGACGTACTCATGACGAGAGCAGTCCATCAGAGCCTATCCCAGATGATGATGAGACAGATGAGAACGAGGAGCCAGCGAGTCTGCAGTCAGAGTCATCTGAGGGTGGAGGCGATGGCACCGACTTGGGTTCTGAGATGGGTGGCGATGCTGCGGATGGCTCCAAGGAGGGGATTGGGATGATTCTGGATCAGATTCTGGCTCAAATTCGGACAGCGGCGTTGATGGTGATAGTTCTGAGTCCATGCCCAGGAAGAGGATGAAGAGGGCCTCTCGATCCTAAGGTGGCCGGCGCCGATTCGGATGTTCTTTGCTTAGTTTTCTTTTTTTTTGCCAATAGTGTTAGCACATTGTACAGCCTTATGCAGCTTTATTTTCTTAAAAACTTGTATTCTTTTTGTAAAAAAGAAACTATGATTGGAATGAAAACAACTTTTGATTAAAAAGTGTTATATTTTGTATTCTGAGCATTCATCACATCGCACCATTTTACCCAAAAACGGGATTTGATGGAAATTGGGCGTTGTATTGGCAATTTCGAAAGCATGTAATGAACTAACCAACGTAAATGGCTCAAAGAACTACTAATACAACAACTCGATAATCAAAACAAATACAACTCGAATCGGTAACTCGATAAGCAATTCGACAAAATTATTAAAGAAAGACGGAAGAAATGCACCAAGAGTGGAACAAAAGACAGGTTCTTAGCCCTTTCAACACATGGATGGCTCAAAGGAAAAATATGAGGCCACCGGCTATAAAAGGATGCTGCTGGTGATCAAAAGTGGTTGTCGGCCACTAGTACTGGTCGGTCGGCTACAAAAGTGGCCGGTTGGCCACCAACATTGGTCGGTCGGCCACTAGTGCAGGGAACCTCCAGATTGCTGCCACCTGTTTTCCACTCAGCACCTTATCTCCTACAAAAACTTTACCTTCGTGGTTTCTTCAATTCAGCTCTTTTTTTGCCACAAATGGAGCCATTCTTTGCCAAAAAACTCTCGACTTGGATTGCAACTTTAGATGGCTCAGAAAAGCTGAATTTTTGGGATTTCGGGATAAATGCACTATTCCCGCTGAGTCGTACTCCACTATGTTTTCCGTTCCTCCATGCCACAGCTAGATGTTGGAATCCGATTACACATGTTTTCAACTTTGGGGGGCAAGAGATGTGCCCCACAATCGAAAAGTTCCGAGCTTTGACGGAATCCCGGCATGACGAGGAAATCTTGCCTTAGTCGCATTTTAGCCATATCCAGGCTTTAGGAAGGATGTGCGGGTTCACTTCACACAATGCCCGATCTCTGATTCACAATAGGGAGTTGGATATTCCCAGCTTGATTCATCGATTTTTTGACGCCGGTGACCGCAGCGACCATCTTTGCCAAGGTTTTCGGTAGCATGCTCTCTGCTTGTGTATGTTGGCTTATTTCCTACTTGCCCCTGGCTTTGGAGGGTCTAGCATTCACTTGATCGAAGTTGCCCAAGGCTTGAAAGAGGGCAAGAGCTGCATTGACTTGACATTAGCTGAGACTTTGATGGGTTTGGATGCTTTCCATTGCCGAGAGACAACCAAGTTCGTAAGAAGTCCACTACTCTTACAGGAATGTTCCCCACCCTTCTCACATGTATTTCTCACATCACTCGACACTCAGGCTTTGTTTTTCTCTCAACACACTTTCTCACTTTTTCTCTCTGCATACACCTCTCTATTCTTTAATCTCTCTTATTTTTCATCCCTTCCCAGATATGGCTCATGGACAGGTTGAATGTCACGCCCCGAACCCGCCCCTAAAAGTTTAGGCATGACCCGTTTGAAAACGAACACTTAACCTGTAGTAAATAACATATGGGGCCTCATCGGAAGCATAAAGTAGGAAAATAACTATACATATAAATTCCATTGAGCTACATCTACATGCCAGGACCTCTTATACATCACATTCATCATGGAAAATAGATAAAGCTCCAAACCATATGTTGTAGCATCGGTGATAAACAACCATATGTACAGACCCAGCCCCATCATTGGGCTTATATAAAAAAATCATTGAAGTTCTACCTCTTTAACTTTAAATGGGTAATCAAAATTAAGCCAACATTTCAATAGACTTTACAAAAATAAATGGCTTCGTGCAGTGCCTGAACCCATGGAGGTTGACAAAAGAAAACGGGTGTCATGACTAGGACTGACCACTTGGTTGGTTACCTACAGAAACATACATTAGACAGAGTGAGCCAAGCTCAGTGAATAGTAATACATAAATAAAACGATGCTTAAATTGAAACATAACACATAGCAATGCATATAAAGATGTAGAGTTCACATAGTTAGTCTGATTCTGTGCTACGTACATAATGGCCTTAAGTTCAATCTTGCAACATAAACATGGTGGCTATAAGCCCTTGAAACATGGTGGCACGAGGCCCTTGAAACATGGTGGCTATAAGCCCTTGAAACTTGTGGCACTAAGGCCCTTGAAGCATGTGGCATAAAGCCCTTGTAACATATGGCACTAAGGCCCTTGAAGCATGTGGCACTAAGGCCCTTGTAAAGTTGGCATGAAGCCCTTGAAAAGTTGGCATGAAGCCTTTGGACATGCATATATGAACCCAAGAGGTGTCTCACACGGACTCTAGAGGTAACTCACAATGTAGCACTTAGTTCCGTGTAGCACTTTGTTTTATTTCATAACAACTTATACGGATGGCTATAAGCCTTATAACTTTCACATATGTATGGACTCAAGAGGTGTCTCACATGGACTCTAGCGGTGGCTCACAATGTAGCACTTAGTTCCAAGTAGCACTTTGTTCCATACCAATAATCATTAGGTCTTACAGACCAAACCATACATGTAATGTCATACCCCGGAAATAAATTCATACATATGCAAATCGATGTGATTTGGGCTGTCACTCCAAAGTTCTTGTTGTGTCGTGTCATTATCGTACGCTTAACAATGAGAGACTGATTCACATTCTCATGAGGGTCACATAATGATGCTAAACTTTGCACTTATATCGTAGATTCTGGATCACTTCCAATTCATAAGCAACATGACAAATTAACTTCAATTCATCTGGATACATGTAGCTACTCTTATATTTACTCAGAATCCATTCTTCAAGAATGAACATAAATTCTTTTGGGTAAATGACTTACTTTACGTGCTCTCTTATCAATAGCATACACCTTTGTTTAATCATTCTTATATGTTAACATAGTTGCCTTGCCTTGTAATTAACATAGTCCTAATGGTAACTGTTACATCATTCCCATGAGTTGACATAATTAACGTAAAGTTAACAGGACATTCCTGATAATTAGTAACGAAAAGTAAGTACATTCTCATTAGATTATAGATGACTTTATTGGTTTCACAATTTCACAGTTCGGCCCTTGGCCTGAGGGGTTCACACATTCACAAGTTCCTTTGATGTTTTCATAATTCCATAATGTTTCTCACATAACATACATAACTTCATAAACTCTTTTGAAGTTTCCATAATATCACAGTGTTTCTCACATAGCATTCATAACATTTATGTCAACATAATTCTTACGACGAAGATTTAACATCAATAACGATAAATGGTTAAAGGTACATCAAAGTACTATTACTCACAGTGATCGGTTCCCGGTGGTAATGGTACAATGTCCTCGTCTCGACCTTACCCAAACCTTTGTTCATCCCTTAGTCTCTTCAATTTTTCCTCAGCTTTTGGTTGATCTTTCCTCTCTCTTCTATCTTCTTCAACCATCTTCAAGCTTCCATGGATGTTGAATTCCTTAGGGAGAAGCTTTGCCTCTTCTCTCTCTCTCCCTCTCTCTCTCACGGTTCTCCTTCCCCTTTCTCTAGATATTTTTATTTTTTGTTTGGTTCAAAATAGATGAGTTCAACAACTCATAAGGCACATATGCATATATAAAAGCTTCCCACAAATAGGAAGGGCCAAACACGCCCTTACGAATCGCACAAAATCACATTTCAATTAAACTTCCCAGATAACTCTAAAAATTATGCTGATCATAAATATGTCCCCTGTTCCGGTATCTGAAGTCTTTAAGGCCTTTAATTTGCAATATAAAGTTAATCACCCAAACGTCCATTAACGAATCAGACAAATTAGATTTCAAATTAATTTTCCCAAATAATTCCAAAAATTCCCATTAACATATCCAAGTACTCAATTTTGATTTTTGAACCCATAAAGGTCGGTAATTCCTATTTTAAGTCCGTACCTCAACTGATAATGCTTCAATTCTAATATATATAATTAAATTAAACCACATCATTTCATAGGGAAATAAAGATGATTTCTTATACGCATTTTGGGGTCATTACATTGAAGGTAGTGGACTCTTGACCTGGATATTCAGCATGTGGCTATTTCTTCCTCTAACGGCTAGTTGATTTCCCAAATGAGGGGTGGTGGTGTCATTGGATGTGCAACAGGTCTGCTGTTGACATTGCTTGGTGTTGCCCCTGGCTTGATCTGCCTGAGATGAGCTATAGCATGGCCCAACAGCCCGACATTCATTTGATTGGCTTGACGCACTGTGTCTTTTATTTTTCATTCCGGTTCCGGCGTTAGTTCGGACACGACTAGACTTGCCCAGAAGAGGGGGTAGAGTACCCAACTTCATTTCCGATCTGAGGCTCACACTTAGCTCGATATTCCATTGCATGAAGGACAAGAGAACTTCTGGCTCCCTCTTTCAATTTCAGTTACGCCCTTTTTGGCGAATGCTTAGCTTGGCTTGAAGATGAGGCGCAAACCGGGTCTACTTTAGCATCTGCAGCTTCCACAAGCTTTGGAAGGGGACGCAGGAACACCTGACTTAATTATGCCCCAAGTTTATTGCTTTAACCTATACTTTCAAGTTTTCCTTTTGAATGTAATAAGAAGCGACTTCGATTTGTATCAAGAGGTAGAGAACTCTGTATTGAAATCAATGAAATTGAAGGTTATGGGTACTGGAAATTTTCCTTTTAGTCCAAAAATGGTCTAAGTTTTAAAAAGATTAATTTGAACAAAATTAACTTCTATTAAAACTTTTCAAAACCATTTTCGATAAGGATCACAACTGGACACACCAGAAATCTATCTTTGAGATGTACAACCCCGAATCTAGCAAATGGAAAGTTGCCCCTTGTCTGAATAGCACTGCACTGTACTGGAGATCATGACCGAACTCTTGGATGTGGAAAAGACAAAGATGACCAAAACAATCACATGAACACAGTTGATTTGGAAGTGTTTATGGCTGAACTTCAGAATGAAGTTGCCTACGTCTTCCAAAGATGGGAATCAAGCCTTACGTAGTTTGGTTCGAGTTCACTCGGGTATTGTAGACACCCCATTTTTGACCGACCTTAAGACTCAGACGTCATCGATTGAGCGCTCGGTGATAGTGCATGTTGTGCTCGTTTCGAGTTTCCAGAGTTTTCGGCTGAGTGCATTGCCTCCGGGCCTTTGAACTCTTTATGTTTTGGCTTGGTTTGTGGACCAAACCTTGTTTCCCTTCCCTGGAGGGAGGGAGAGGTCTGTAGACCACCTTTTTGTGGTCGTAGACCACTTTTCCTGCTTGAACACTAGTTTCCGATTTTCGGAGCCTTCGGCCACGCACCTTGTCTTGGGACCACTTAATGTTCTCCGTTTGGCTTGGTTTTTGAACCACACCTTGTTGCCTCTGCCTAGAGGGGCACTGTGGTCCGGGAGACCACTTTTGATGCTCATAGACTAGTTTTCGAGGCTCCCGGCCGCGCGCCTTGCCTCTTGAACTTTCGTCTTGCATCTTTTTTGGTTTATTTTTGGCACAAACCTTGTTTTCCTTGTTTGGAGGGTGGTATAAGGGTGGGAGACCAGCTAGTTTTCTGGTCGAACAACTGGTTTTCTTGGTCTTTGGACCACCTTTTCTGGTCGGCTACCAAACCACTGCCTTGCTTTCATACTGTAGACCATACCCCTCCCATGGCCGACCACTTTCTTCCCTGGCCGACCACTTCCACTGGTCGACCGACCAATTCAAGTGGTCGGTAACTTTCCATCACCTTTTTGGAGATATTTTCTAGCCAGCTGTTACAGTTGGAAGGCACAGAAGCCATCCTCCATATGGAGGGATGGCTTGAAGCCTAAAGTGTGTTCAACAAGATTCTTGCTTGTTTTTCTATATAAGGGAGGCCCTCCCTCCCTTCTCTAGGTTCAAAAAATCTTGCTTGAGCTATACATATCATCTATATCTATACTTCTTCATTTCTCTCTTGTTTTGTGCTTGAAAGTGCATATTCTTCATACTATTGCACACAAACACACACTCAAGCACCATCCTATTGTTGCTGAGGCACTTTCAGGTTGATTTTGGAGTTTTTGGAGAGGTTTGAGCTCAAAAAAGCTATTGGAGTTGTAGCTTTGAAGTAGTTCTACAAGGGTGAGCTTCTAACCCTTAAAACCCTTATTTTGGTTTAAGTTTTTGGACCTATTTGCATGCTTATTATGGCTTGACTTTCTACTGCAAAAAGGTCTGGTTTTGCATGCTTGTAATTTTTGTTTAAGGTCTCTTTTGTGTTGGGGGTGGTCTACCCCCTCTTAGGCCTTGTTTGGCTTTGTTTTGTGCCATCCTTTTAAGCTATTGGGACCACCTTTTTTTCACCTTCTCACCACTGAACTCAGAGGAATTTCAGTGGTGGAAATGGTGCTTTGAGGTCCCAAATAGGAGGGGGTCATCCCCTCTCCTTGTTGCTTGGTTGCTTGCTTTATTTGTCTCATGTTTGAGCATGTTTGTTAAGCTTATGTTGACTCCATCTTAGCATGTATTTGGGGTTATTTTGACATGGCATACCACTATTTTGGTTTGGTTTTGTCACCTCATGCATGCTTAGTACACTTGTAGTGTAAATCTTGCAAACTAGTCTTGTATGCTTCATGAAGTAGCATGCCTTTCCAGCATGATTTGATTCCATTTCAGCATGTTCTTGGTGTTGTTTTGCCATGATATACCTTTGTTAAGGTTTGGTTTGATGGCCCTATGCATGCTCCATGTACTTGTAGTGCAATTCCATGAATTAGCCTAATGTGTATCATGCTTTAGACCATCATTCTAGCATGATTTTGGCTTAACTTCAAGAAGCTTTTGTTAATGTTTTACCATGCTTAAGCTCTAATTTGTGTTGTCTTGGTCATGCATGCCATGCTTTGTATAGCTATAGTGCATTTTAGCTTGTTAGCTTTGTGTATTGAGTCCACTAGCATGCGTTGCTTGGCCTATTTGAATGATTTGGCATCATTTGTTATGAGATTTCAGTGCATGTTTCATGGTCATATACTCACATCTTTCACTTATTCCATGCTTTGAAGGGTTGGTCCTTTATGCCTTAAACATGGGTCGTTGCGTATGCCTTCATGCCTAAGCTTGTGAGCTATCATTTCAATGTGTTTTTGGGGTTATTTTGCCATGATATAACTCTAATTTTTGTTGGCGAAGCCATCCCATGCTTGGTCTTGGTAGGTGTAGTGTAACCCTCCCTTTTGGCCTTGCATATTCCATGCTTCATGTCCTTCATGCTAGCTTGTTTTGGCTTCCTTCCATGCATGTTTTAGACTCATTTCGACATGTTCTAGGACTATTTTGGGTTGCCTCGACCATATGCTTCATGTTTTATATAGCTATAGTGCAAGTGCCTATGCTAGCTTTGAGTTTTGAGCACCATAGCATGCTTCATTTGCATCGTGTGTATGATTTTGCATCATTTATCATGATATTTCAGAGCTTATAGCATTTCTATGTTCCCACTTCTTTCATGCTTTGAATGTCTTTAAGGGTTATACATTGTTGCCTAGCTTATGGCCTAGCTTGTACGCTTGCATGCCTAGACTTTTGAGCTCCCATTTTAGCATGTTTTGGTCCTTGCTTAGACCTATTTGAGCTCTGTCCCTGGTTGGTTCATACATTTGTGCCATGTATTGTATGTCTCTAGAGTAGTCCACTTTGGTAGCTTTATGCTTTAAGGACTCTTGCATGCCTTGCTTGTATTGAGTGAATGATTTGGCATCATTTCATACTTTATTTCAGTGCACATAGCGTTGTTGCACTTCCACATTTGTCGCTCCTTGAGCACTCTTGAGAGTTGTGCTCTTATGCCTTGTCAATGGGCCATTGCATTCATGTTTTATATAGCTATAGTGCAAGTGCCTATGCTAGCTTTGAGTTTTGAGCACCATAGCATGCTTCATTTGCATCGTGTGTATGATTTTGCATCATTTATCATGATATTTCAGAGCTTATAGCATTGCTATGTTCCCACTTCTTTCATGCTTTGAATGTCTTTAAGGGTTATACATTGTTGCCTAGCTTATGGCCTAGCTTGTACGCTTGCATGCCTAGACTTTTGAGCTCCCATCTTAGCATGTTTTGGTCCTTGCTTAGACCTATTTGAGCTCTGTCCCTGGTTGGTTCATACATTTGTGCCATGTATTGCATGTCTCTAGAGTAGTCCACTTTGGTAGCTTTATGCTTTAAGGACTCTTGCATGTCTTGCTTGTATTGAGTGAATGATTTGGCATCATTTCATACTTTATTTCAGTGCACATAGTGTTGTTGCACTTCCACATTTGTCGCTCCTTGAGCACTATTGAGAGTTGTGCTCTTATGCCTAGTCAATGGGCCATTGCATGTACATGTTTTGTCTTGATCTTCATGCCTTAGTTTCATCATTATGGCCACTAATTTGAGCATGACTGAGGTTTATCCTTTTTAGTTTAAGTCCATTGAGCATGTTGTTCAAATGTTGTTACATTACATCATGTTTGCATGCTTGAGTTGCATTGTGTTTAGCATGTTTGTTTGCATGTTGTTTGCATGCTTATGTTACATTGCATTGAGTATGCCATGTTGTTCATTACATTCTGTATGCCATGTTCTTCACATTGTGTATGCCATCTTACATTGCATTGTGTATGCCATGTTACATTACATGTTTGCATGCTTGAGTTGCATTGCATTTATTTGGATTAGGTGTTAGTCCAAACACGAAGAACGAGGGACGTTTCATACTTGAAGTGATGAAATGTGCCTCAATTCTCGATCCCCGACCCTCTTGATCATACATGATAGAGGTCAAGGCTTTATGTGTTTATGTGTGCATTCATTTCGTATTAAATTGTGCAATTTGGCTTCTCGGCCATCATGCATCGAGATGTGTGATTGGTGGCCCGAGGGTCGAGAACCGCACT